AGGTATCTTCCCTCCTGGTTTTGCTGCTTGTGCTGGTGGGATGGCCGTCCATGGTGTCAAAGCGGCAAGAACCCAGGCAAGATATTTGGCGTCATCTGATCGCACGAGCGATTTGTAAATCGAGTCTGGCGTTTCGTTCAATGTCATCTCCTTTAAGCAATCGTACACGATTTTCCAGCTCGATGTATCTGGTGTTAGAACCTCATGTGCTGTAGGATCCGTGAATATTGTTGAATAGATACCAAGTCGATCAAAATAGTTCAAAGATTGCCATGGGTTATTTCCTGACATTGGTAAGAAATACATTCAAATATCAAAGAATTGTCTGAATGATAGCTTGCTTACCTTTCAACATTTTCTCCACTTCAACCCCAACTCTTTCTCGACTGATCTTAAGTTTGAGAGCTTCCATGATGGTTGAATTACTCATACAATTTTCTGCCCCTGGATCAATTTTGAAATTTAGTCGACTAGCAAATCTGATCAATCTCAAAACTCGTAACGGATCATCCTTGAAAGTAGTGTATGGTTCAAGCGGTGTTTTGATGAGTTTGGCCTTCATATCCGCAAGTCCTCCAGTAAAATCTTCAAGGATATCTGTGTGAATGTTATAGAATAGAGCATTAATCGTAGCATCCCGTCTGAGTGCATCCTCTTCTGCACTACCGAATTCCATCTCAGGATTGCGACTATCTTCGGCGTAAGTTTCCTTGCGCAAGTTCACAAAATCCACATCGAACTGGAAAATGTTTGTAGTTGCAGTTTCTAACTGTTTGGACTTCTCTGGATTCGCAGCAATTTTGTATAGTTTTTTGACATCTTTAGCTTCCAGTCCATGTTTCTTGAGGTTTTCTGCATCTTCCAAATATTCCCGCACCTTCAGACCAAAGTTCTGCCCAGTCATGACATTGATTGCTATGTCAATATCATGACTTTGGATCCCAAGTAGCTTGTCCCGAACCCATCCTCCTGCCCATCTTAACTCGACTTTCTGCTCAATATACTTTGACCCATTGACAAAATTCGCTACATCAAGCAAAAGATTCCGAAGTTGACTTTCTCGAGGAGTCAAGGTAACAGTAGTGGTAGCCATAGTCGTTCCTCGTAATCTTTTTGCGAAAGAAATCTCTTCTTCGTTGTGTTTTCGTTTCATGGAAGAGAATTGAAATGTTTGTCGTTTGGCGATGGTGACTCTTAGAATAGATCTGACTTTTATGACTCCACGGCTCTGTACAAAAGATGTCCAATATGGAATCATAACATGGGATGAATGGGAGCCTTTTAATGAATAGTCGAGCTGTAATCTAGTCGAATCCATAAACATCAAATAAAGGAAAGTACGGCACCAAATAGAGATTGATATCCAAGTCACGTGACGCCAGGGTTTTGGTGATGCTGGATTATTCTTAGCGCAAGGCCATCATCAAGTGTGGTTGTTCCCGCGATGATAAACTTATACGACGTATACAAAGTACAAAATAACAAGGGACTTCTTAAAGGGAATTATACGACTAAAGTCCTTAAACTCCTCTTGTATATTTCATGCTCATGTCGATTAATTACAATTTCAACATTGACCATCTCAGACGGATTGACGTTCGAGTATTACACAAGGCCACATCTGGATGAACGATCGCCCTGCTTTGCCGCTGCTGCAGTCTACCTTTGATTGATTCGGCGCATGATTGTGCGATTAATTAGGGTCATCGAAATTAGTGCGAACATTGTTTTCTTCCGGCTGCGGACCCCTCGATCTTCATGACACCTTCGAATCATGCATCTCCCTTCAGTCCCCCCGAACCGGTGACGAGTCCTACGCCGTTGAGAAGGCCGAAGACAAGAATTTCTGCAGATTCGCAATCAATGACTTCATCCGTAGCTTCACTGCCATACAGAGCGTCGAATGCCTCTGTACAGTCACTGTTCGCGTCAACGACAACACCTTCCGGTTCAAGACCAGTCTCCCCGACCGGCGGATCATCGACACCTTCGCGAATCGCAGGATCTGTATTTGGTGGTAGTACACTCTCTGAAAGCCATCTCTTACCATCAGATAAGAAAGACGATCCTCGGAATTTGATTTTATCCGGATTTGTTCCACATATTGCGGTACACACATCCATCGATACACATGAGCTTGTGCAAAACAAAGGGTTCAAGGGAGGGCTTTGGGAGTTAATAAGGCCATTTGGGGAGAAGATACAGGGAAAAGTCAATGTACGAGATAGCATAGGGGCTGGCCGGACGTATGACGATTTTGGAGTACGCTTTGTTCAACTGGGGGATGGGCTTGAAATACCGGATGGGATACCTGGGTCGCGAAGGAGTGGAGAGGGGAGAGTTCTGTCACCGAATGGCAACAAATCCATACCAGATTCAATAGCTGCCCAGCGCCTGAGAACGGGGGGAGATATCCCTCAAATTGAGCGACTTGTTGATCGTCATTTAACAAATGCTGAAGAATTTCCAGGTGTCAGTGCAGAAGATTTTTTGAACTTGAAGGATAGTTCTAAGATTTCAGGGGCAACTTCGCCATTTTATACTCTTTATCTACGAAGGTTACTTTCAGGGATACCTTTGGCCCCCCACGAAACTTTCTCTCATCCAGTGGCATGTATTATCGCCATAAGTTCACGTAACAAAAATCCCATTGAAGCTTTAAGGAGGTTATATGAAGAATCAAGTCGCGGAGAAAAGCGATTGCCACTATGGGTCAATGACGATTATCTCCGCTATTATGTTCTGGTACATGATGAAGAACGAGATGATATCACAAAATCTATCACATTATTTGAACAAATGAAACGCCATTTTGGGCTTCATTGTCATCTCTTGAGGCTTCGAAGCAGTCAATGCGTGGCAACAGATGATGATAGTGTACAACTCCCACGGTGCGAATGGATAGCCGCATCAGAGGAAATTGCCGAAATACAGGCGCGGGAGTCCCAGGAAGACCCCGAAGACTCATTTCCTTGTATTTATGAATCCGATACTACTGCCATTAAAACATTTATTCGCGAGATGGTTACTCAATCTGTTGTTCCGTCAATGGAGAGGTGTGTAGCGACTTGGAACGACCAGGTTGCTTCACGGCGAAGAGGTATCAGTGGTAGATTCATGAGCTTATCGAAAACTATAAAATGGCCTGGAGCATTTGGTTCTAGCTCACGAAGTAATTCAACAAACTCGGTAGGATCAGGTAGTAATTATGACGCATTGCAGGGGTTTTACCGACCGGATTCACCAGAAGCATTGATGCGAAAGCTTGCAGATTACTCGTTTATGCTTCGGGATTGGAAATTGGCCCAACAAATTTATGATCTGTTGCGGTCTGATTTCACTAATGATAAAGCATGGAAATATCATGCGGCAGCCAATGAAATGGCTGCTGTTAGTACCCTCATGATGCCTCATTCTATCAGCGCTAAAACACGTACTGAAACCATAGATATGATGCTTGAAACCTCATCGTACTCATATATGACACGGTGCAGTGCCCCATACGGAGCGCTGCGTTGCTTGACCTTGGGAATGGAGCTTCTCAGGGTGAGAGGCGGTTCGGCAACTGGCGATGCAGCAAGATGGGGTGCGAGACTTCTTGAACACAAGATTGTGGGTGCAGTTGGCGACTCATTATTCAAGGAGCGTGTTGCGGTCTGTTATGGTAGTAAGAAGGGACATGGAGTTGGCCTCTGGGGTAGTAGAACAAGAAAATCCGCCATGTGGAGTATTATGGCCGCGGAAGGATGGCTCAGCCTAGAGAAGCCTCATCAATCGAAAAAGAGTCTATATGATGCTCGTGCGAAGTATGCTACATTGGAAAATAAAGACAGTTTGTTGCATTTTGCGGAAGCCAATGAATTTGTACAGGGTCTTGAGACGCAGATCGAAAATAATTTATATCCGTTAACCGAATCCCAAGCAACGATCATGCCAGACGATGACTTAATAGAGACAACCATGGGAGAAGAAAGCGAAGCCTTCAACTCCCGTCCACATCGAAGAAGTCTCCTGGGTGGAGTGGCACCGCCTCCCATTGCGAGTCTCGAATCAGCGCCCCTGCATGGGGCAATAATAGAAGCGGAAGAGAAAGATAAGATTGTTACGAGTAACAATTTCGAACAAGAATAATGAACGGGTGGGGGCATCATTAGTTGTGAATGAGAGCGAGCGAACTTCCTGCATATACCATTTCATTTCGAGAGGAACCTTTGACCGTGCTTGGAGGAAAGCATTGCAAAGTAGGAGTCTGAGGAGTTATAGATCTGGTTGAAAATAGGTCTCTGGCATGAACATTGGGGGTCCTATGTATGAATATGCTATGAGATGAATTCAATGAATGACTTTAGCTATGATCAATACTATTGAGTTTTATGTAGTAGTCGTCCATAATTCATGACACTGATCTTTTGTCAAATGTTTTGTGGCCGGACAACATTATCTCTACTTCAGCAAGTTTTCTTGTAAGTGTGAGCTTATTCTGTTGTTTTCCATGGACCTCAGTGCTACCATATCCTCATCATTAGTGATTCTTTACCAGACAGATGGCTGCAGTGTCCAAGCCCATCTGCTTCGAATATCAGTAAGATCACCTGCACCAAACGACAAAGCCCTCTGAAAGCAGTCGTGTACATAGTCCATGGTGAGAGCACAATAGACACCTCTCAAATTTCATCAAAGTCCCCACTTTTCTACACCCAATTGTTTGCAGGTTCCCACCCATCTGTGCGAGATGGAAAGAGAGGGAAAGCCAACGAGGTACGCCACTCGAAATGTGTCTGTGGGTGATTATTCGAGTCTACGTCTCGATTAATATTGACGCTGGGAGCTGAATCATTAGTGAAATCAGTTTGCATAAAGCCAGTGTCTAATTAATTGTAGATGGCAAATATTGTATTGTTGGAATGCATGTTGTTCTATTTACTGCAATTGTTGTTTACGCGATCTTCGATTTAAAAAGTGGTATCCCATGGATGTGTAGGATAGTCGTTTGATGTGCAAGGGGCGTGATGAATTTGAAATGATAAGTTATCTTCGCTTGACGGTCTAATTCTAATTCCAATTTGAAGCAGAGATAATAATAACAACGCAATCGATCCAGACGAGTGTCTGAACCCCCCTTCCCCAAACAAGCTAAACGAGTGTGTGAGTTTAATAACGATACATAGCATGAAAGCAACCAGCAAGCCCAAAAAAAATAGTACAAAATATTCTCCTCTTTTCCTTCGTGTCCCCTAATCTTTTCATCTCTAAACCTCCCACTCTCTCCCTAGAACCTCATTCCCAAATGCTAAACTCTGACACGAGAATCTACATCAAACAACTACGTCATCAACACAGGTATCATTCCCTCCACTTCCAGTTCCCGCCACCACACATTTGTAGAGGCCGCAGTACCGGGGCGATATCAGCAAGCCATCTTCAACGCATGTGAAGACCGAGTGATAAAGGCTCTCATCGTCGTAGCCGAGATTGGCGGTACGGAGCGCTTGCACCATGGTGTCGTGGTATTGGCCTGGGGTTTGTGTTAGCGGGCTGGGTGTTTTTTTCAAGAAAAAGGGGACGAGAAGCAGAGAGAGAGAAGAGAGGAAAAAGAAACGTAATCCTACCGATCCCGAGCAAACTTGTGCCACAGTATTGAAAATGGTTATAGCAATTGTCTGCAATCGCCCGGGCGCTGAAGATGGAGAGGGTAAGGGTGACGACGGTGGAGAAATGCATTTTGATTGGGCTTCGGTAATGTACGAATCGTGTTTATAATGCAATGAGGTTTACAGGCAGAAGTGATCAATGGTATTGTGATTGATGATTTGATAAGTAGAGCGAAGTGATGCTTATTGATGAGAGTATGATGCTGAACTGGAAGAGAAAAGTAACAGGAAATCTTGCAGTTCTTATAAATTATATTTTCCATTCCTCTACTGCGTCGAGTCGTATTCCCATTCCAGGCATCTCATATTCGGCGCCGGTCGTACACCTCGACGTTCCTTCATCAAACGTTGGTTGTGCTTAACGCTGTGTATCAGGCCTTTGACGCACGGCGTCAATATTTCAAGACTTGGTTTCCACGTGAGCTAAGCTCAACTTACAATCCTGCAAAATAGGCTGCATAAAAACCAAATGTAGACGCGGGGTGGACTGCAGATAATTCGTAGCCGCGGGTTACTCGCTAGAGATCCTAAGGTTACCTGCCCTGCGGATTATCTGCAAATTATTGGCATTCCCTATTCTTCATCAAATTTGAAGCTTTTCCTAAACTATTATGTAGCCTAGAAGCGATCCAAGCGTAGATCTGAACAGATTATCTGCAAATAATCCGCAGACAATTTGCAGACAATTTACAAATACCTGTACTCGAATATATCGGCAAATAGTTGGATAAAAACACTAGCCCGTTATACATTCGAGTACTTACTAGAATTTGGTGCCTAATTTCCCGCGAAATTTTGACCGTTCCGAAAACAAAATGCTAACGCCCAAACAATCTTGTTTCGTCATTGCATAGCTAGGAATTTTTCTTGCATCCGGAGATCGCATCGTTATATAAACGATCATTTATCCAATACAATATAAATATATCTCCTAAGTCTTTGGTATATCCTATCCAAACGCCGCTTCCCGTGTAACAAGACATGCCAGTAAAAGCGTGATTCCCCTTTTTCCACATCCGAATATTCCCAAGCCCAAGCTCCAAATCATACCGATACCAAATCATTATGATATCAAAACCGAACACCGGTATCTTCTCCCTCTTCATCCTTACCCGCCTCACCAACAATAAACTCCAATACTTTACAAACCCTCTCATTTAGAATTCCACCGTTCGCGAGTTCATCTTCCGAGTCTAGTCTCTCATCCAATTCTTGTGCTTCTGATCCCGTTTTCATTGTTCTTCTCTCTCTTTCAACACGTGCTTTGAGAGCCCGATCAACTCTGACCGGTACAGCCACTACCACCCTTACTAATAAAAGCATCATCCTCGCTTTCCCTACTAGATCCCATCGTCCTAATCTTCTCAGCCTCTGCTGAACTCGCCATATCCTCCCCATTTCAATGTATATCAATAAAGCCCATACCCGTCCTCTCATAACCAATTCTCTTACTCTTATGAAGGCAACTTCTATGGAAGAAGTTACATCGGTATTAATGAGGTGAGGGTATCGAGAATTTAGGGATGATAGAAGAGAGCGGATCGTAATGAAGTCGCCTGTAAGGAAGTCATGTATGAGTGATGAGACTGTAGTTCGAAACAAATTGTCGGAGGCTAAGGACGGAGAAGGGTGTTTGGTGGGTAACGAAGTGGCAGTAGAAATTGACGACAAAGTACTAGCGGAATCGTAAGCTCGACGAGAGGACGGAGATTTGAGGATTTCGAAGGAGAAGGCTAGACGTTGGAATGCGCTGAATGATAGATTGTCAGTTCACAATCGACAAAATAGGGGGGGGGCATGTAGGCGAAAGCGAGAGCGAAGGACACAGGAAGATTTACCGGGTAGAAAGTGGATGAAAAGGAATTCGATCGGGATGGCATATTTTCGACCGTTCTAAATAACATCGTCGCAATTCCGCAGCTGAAGCAGATCTTTGCGCTCCCAGAATTTTGTATAACTATGTGAATTTTATTGTCAACAATCAGGATCTTTGCTTTGCTTGTACCCCTCAGCCCCTCTATGGCAATTGGAAAGCGTGGTACTCGTTTGCGCCACAACTTTTCAAAGACTCGGGAGTACAGGGCAATATGGATAGAAGAGGATCACGAAAACCCGACGACAATGCCATGTACACGCAGTAAAGAAAATCAACATACATCTTCCTCAGTGAGAATACCTATTTATCACGAAAAACACGTTCCAAGTCAGCATTTTTCGCATATAAAATGTTTCCCTCCCCAACTCTGAGATTCAAGACCAAATACCACAAATCACATGTCAAAACAAGTGCAAAAACTCACTCTGGATTACATCATCCTTATTAGAAGCCAAAATGTCTCCGAAATCCCTCTCAATCATTCTAATACACTCTCTTTCCACCCAAATAATCAAAATATATTTTAAAAAAGGAGTGTTAAAGAATGAATATAGGAAGCATTTTGCCCAAGACAGTGAGATGTAAATGGTTACATGGAGAGACAATGTGGGAAAGTATGGGATCGGAGGAACGTTAGTGCTTCATGAGGCAAAAAGAAGTGATGGTGGACTTTCACATGGAAAAAAAAAAGAAATTGTTGGTTGTGTGAGACTGTGAGTGAAGCGTGGGTTGATGAGGCGTGGGTTGATGTGTGGTGTGTGTGTCAGCGGGGGAATTGGAGGATTTCCGGTTGGTGGAGGAGGGAGAAAGTTCAATGACTAAGGAATTGAATTGTGCAAGGTTATGTGTTACTTCGTATGTATGGTTGGATTTGTGGTGCAATGTAACATGGAATTGAAAGGCCGAATAACTAATATATACTACCAAGCTAGATATCCCCCGACGACAAACCTAAAGTCGGTGTGGATACTTAGATGTGAATATTCTCAAGGTCAGTTGTGTACATCGTAGTTTGGAATATCAGGACGGTGTTGAATGTAATCTGTATACTGGCAAGACGAATTAACTACAACATTAAATCATACAAGCTGCGCAGAACCAGAATCCCACTTGCATAGATCAAGTCGAGTGTATAAATCGTCATCTTTCATCTAGAAGTAAAAAGCAACTCCAAGATCCGATGCTGTCACCACCCATCGAATTAAGTCTCGGTCTCCGAGCTCTCTCTCAAATACCATATTCCACAACAAAATGCTCAACGTCTTTAAGCTCTCCCGATCGCTATTCCAAAAGTTTGACATACGCATCTGCTCTCTTCACTTCATATCAAGGCCTTTATCATCCATCTCACTGATCTTGTTCGTATCTTCCTTGTTTCCTACTTTCTCATCCTTGAAGTTCCTCGTGCCAAATCCAACCCACATGCCCCTTTCGAATGGTCCTTCATAATCCTGAGATCATTTCCAGGAGGCAGTTTGATTAGGAGCTTTGGGTATATTACCTCTGAGTGGCTCTGAGCCTGGATCATCGGCATCATTCTTATCCTGCTTCTCGTTGGTCATGATAAAGTTGATGGTGCGTCCTCCGAATTTTAGCCAAAATCTCCCACTCTCGTTCTCGTGAGGAGTGTATACGGCTTTTCGTGCGAGCTGCATGACTGTAGAGAAATGAAGAACTTAAAGGAATGTCGTAGAATGTGGTTGATATTTAAAATCCTGATGATTATGAAAGAGTGAAGTTTAGATAGCAAACTACAGAAGGACTTCACTTCCTTCTGGGGGTTCAGAGACTACGCCAATTGTTTAGATTAGTTGTTATATATACCAAAACCCCTTTAACTCAATATCTGTGGTATTTTGTTAACTGAGCCAACAGGAAAGGATAATTACGTGAAAATTGTAGCGCCATGAAAACAAAGGTTCATGGAGGGGCCAATTTATCGACGATGACACTTTATTCATGGCTCTGGACGGCGGTGGTAGACCTGAGACCGAACACAGCTTATTGAAGGGACATTATGAGATTTCACCATAAGATATGCCATTCCCAATTTTTCGTAGATACATCTCCCCAGTTCTTTCAATTCCAACAGTTTGTGTCTGATAGGACCTTTTTGAAAGTCTTAAGTCTTACTTCGTGACGAATCGCATGTGAGATCCGACCTTCAAGTCAAACGCGCGGCTATGTAGGAATTCACGGAACTTTCGAGGCCCTGTGAAAGAATAGACCAAACATGCAACTTTGCATGTTCATGAGTAGATATATTTCGAACACATAACTCCGAATGCATAGAATCTGACAAATGAATCATTCGTGGGGTCAATGTAGGGCTGAACACATTGCGTAACCTAACCTTACAAGTGACATGGTGAGTTCTTATAAAATGAGATTACCCACGAAAAATAATAATGTCATCTGGTTGAATAGCTAGACATCATTTTGACTACTAAGTCGGATGAGAAAGCTTTCTTGAATACTAATTTGCACTGGGAGTGGCTACAAACCAAATAACGAAATGGAGGGGGGGGGGGGTTTGTATAACACCACACATGAATCGTTCATCATGAAAAGATTTGACTACCACAACAGTATTGATTCCACACATTTCGAAAGGAATGGAATATCTCGAAAGTTCAATTCACCATATCTCGTCCGTGAAAGATCATGGTTTCGATATTTCTTCGAGAAGACCTCGAGGATCTGATTTTCATTGTGTTCAGGACCTACGATGTAGTCACGAAAGGACATAGAATTCTGAAAAGAGGCGCTGTAATATAGCGTCGCTACCCCAAAGAATACGGCATTACTTGTAAGCGATTACTAATCTATATCCTATCAAATCTCCATTCCCCTTTCACCACCAATTCCTCTCAACAACAAAATATACATCTATATAACCACGCCTGAAATTCATAATGTTCTCATCTGGTCGTATTTCTGCTAAAGAAAGAATGCGAAATTCGAAACCTGATGAACATGGTATCCCGTTGTTGCCATCTAGTGGTAAAATCTCTAGGCTTTTTTGGGCAACTTGTTTCTAACACGTGACTAGTTTTACCACCTTCTTACTCCTTCGAGGATCTGTATCGAGAGCTTGTCGACAAAAAACAGCAAGGTGAGGATGTAAGTCTACATCCCTTAATCATTCTTTTGACTTGAGTTCCTACTAAATGGTTAGGAGGAACTAGAAAACCTCGTCATCCTTGCCAGCAGCTTGAAGGAAAATTCGAACATATCGAAAAATGCAGATGATGATATATGGCATGAGAAGCTTGAAGACTATTTATCAAAGAAATTACTACCTGATGGCAAGATATTCTCGTTAGACAAGATTGATGGTAACGTATCTCTAGCTAATCTAGATGTTTGGAGCATAAACTCATATTTCTCAGAAGGAGACACCCCAGACAAAGTCCACCAAATCAAGCAATGTAAAGAGAAATATAGCCTCTGCATTCTTGCAATAGAGAACCTACTTATTATCTCTTCGAAAACATCACAACCACCGAAGAACTCAACACTTCTTCCCCTCATCCCATTCACTAATGCCAATTACGCCTGGACGACTCCCCAGTCTCAACTCATCGCCATCACAATACTCGGTAAATATGAATCTTACGTAAAGTCTCCCGAGTTCTTGGTCAACCACCTTCTAAGATCTTTTATCCGTCTCATATTCTCTGAAGCCCCCACTCCCGAATCCATTACTGCATCTTCCCGGAAAGCACTTCCATCATCTGCACCACCTCGTCATTTCGATATCCTCGAGTCCTCTCCTTCAAAACAACCTTGGAGGTCAAATATTCCATACACGATACCTGTTTTACAATGGATCGTGAATGTTATTCCAGTACGTATTCCCCTCCTCATTCCAAATCTAGACTAACACCCACAACAAGTCGGATCTTCTCCGTGCGCAAGCATGGCCTCTATTAACCACTCCTATTCTGATACTCCTCGATTCACCATCGAATCCAATCCGAATCCACGCTCTTCGAATCCTTCCCACGCTATTTTCAAAAATGGGTAATAAATTGCTTCAACAAACAGGACTAGGTGACGTTTTCGAGAACACTATCCACCCAGTTTTGTTATTCTTACCATCTACGACACCCGTTGAAGAAACACTTAAATTATTGCCAGAGGGATACAAAGCTTTAAATGCACTTTGTAATGCGATATGGCCTAGTAAGGGAGACGAAGAGGCTTCCAGCAGTGTAACCACCATTGCCATAAAGAAACCCTTGAAACACAACACCATCCCTTCCAAATCACCAGCTCAGCTTCGTCTCGCATTTCTTGACAGAATAATTCGGCATGCTATTCTTCCCGCTTACTTACACTGTCAAGAAATCCCTTCCGTGGTTGAGATACTGGTTGTACAAATCGGTATCATCATCCCAGAGATGAATATTTCGGGCGTGAAACATCTCAAGGATATATTGCCTATATTGGTAAATATTCTATCGAACCCATTCTTCCCTGAGACCTCTCCATCACTCGTTATCAATACGCTGAAGACACTAAGAGGAGTGGCTCTCGTCCTTTGGCCACGTATTAGTACTGATGAACATCGATTGGTTATTATAAGTGCTTTGACACTTCTAAACTGCCATATTTGTTCAAAAGTAGATGAAAAATCTGAGGAAAAGAAAGGGAAAAATTCGGAGATATTGAATGAGCTACTAGAGACGGGAAAAGTATTTACAGCGGTGGTCCAACAGGCAGGAGATGAGAAAGAAAGAGAGAGTTTTGAGCAAGAGTTGGCGAGGATTATCGAGGCTGATGGAACGCTGACTAGAGTTTTCCCGAGATGATTGTGGTGCAATGGATACGCGATTTGTATCGAATGCGATGTTCTTATATATGGTCGCGAGACAGTCGTCAAATTGAAAACATAAAGTGAGTGGTCTTGACGCAATTGACTTAGGATTTCTAATTAAAATCACAGTCTCATCTGGTAGTATATCTTTACAATGAAATACTTTTTTTCAAGTAAGAAGAATCACCAATGCTCATCTTGACGAGAATTTCAATATTGTTCCTCACCCCTACTCAACAAAAGGAAAAGCGAACAATCCCCAGAAAACTACCCACCGTCCTCTGTGGAAAGCCACTTCCTCCTTCCCATATAAATGACTAGCTCCTCAATTCTCAATACAAACATGCAATCAAACCTATAAATCTATTCTCTCTATCGACTTCCCGGCCAAATTACCACCTTCCCTTCCGCCATTGTCACTGATCCATCATCGCTTGCCCAGGTATCACCTATCTATTTGTATCAGCAGCTTGCACCACCGAGTCACTTACACTTCCACTTCTCATCTTATCTCATTTCATCTCATCTCACACAGTGAAAAATGTTATTCAAACACCTAAAATCCCACAACCCCTCAACACCACATACATGCCCCTTCCTCGCCAACACCAACTCCAACACCCCATTCTCCTCTCTCAATATCCCTTCATCCCAAATCCAAAGTCCCCCTATTTAACTGAGAAAAAACCCACCCCTCACCCTTCCGTCCTCACAGTCCAAAAACGAAAAAACAAAAACAGAACCACGATTATCATCTCCATAAATCTACAAGCAGAGATGAGAGAAAGACCAGACGATGAAGTTAAACCCCGAGAAATATGCAGGAGGTAAAATCTTACTTTCCTTTGACATCTGCAGAAAGAATCTCTCAGTCACTATCTCGTCATAAACTGAGTCTTTCTCATGAAATATCCACACTTGCATCCACAACAGGAAATGTAGAGTTGAGATTTTGAAAGCAGCGGTGTGATATCTATCTTCCATTTGTAGACCAGAGCCCAGTACAATCCGTCCAACTCCGAATCTTCACAAAATCAACAACTGACAATTTCCACGTGATGAATCCTCGCCCAACTCAAACAAAGCTACCCATTGCAGAGATCGCTACAATAATACAATCATTTGTCAAGGTAGAGATTGTAGAGCGTTACCGAGTGAATGATTTGTTATTTGCTCAGATGCTTAAATGCATACTAATATCTACAGTGATTACCTATATAACATGTAATATACAACAAGCGCCGAATAGTAACTAACCACTTACAGATACCCACCAACACAATCAACATTGATCGAGAAGCTACAAGGATCAATCAATATGCGAGAAAACTTACAGAAATGATATTATGAAGTCAAAAGAGCAGAATGTATGTAGGAATCAAGAAGCAAGCGTCTAGCAATTATCCAGGGAGAAGAGGAACTTGAAAACAAATCGATACTTCCTCAAGAAATTCTCGAATTTAACGAAATGTAAATAAATATATTGATACCTGACACCGTATCCCCAAATAAGTTCTAGCAGAATATACACCCATACCACCATGCTAACATGAAAATCCTTGCGCCTCGCCATCAATCCCCTAATCAATAGGTTGTTGTTTAAACAAACTCTTTCCAGCCAACCATTTCCTATATGCCTTATATCTCTTCTTCTGTCCATCTTCCTCAAGCACCGTCAATGGATTTTCTGCCACTCTCAAGAAGCTTCTGTACTCCTCGATTTCCTCATGATCTTCTTCTCTACCCCATCCTCCATTGATTCCTCCATTGTACCCGCCTTGACCAAAACCACTATCCCAGCCAACACCTCGGACCCATTCTTCATATTCATCTACACCCTCGATATCATGGTCATCATCTCCTACTACTAGTGATAGTAGTTGTGGATACTCGACGTATCGCTCATAATCTTCTTCTTCGCCTAGATTGACACTGGGGTTGAGAGATTCGCTGACGACTTGAGTGAAGGTCCATTGGGCAGCTTTACTTTTATCCAACGGTGTCATCTTTTTCCTCTCTAGTCCCCCCAAATTTCGACTTGAATGGATATTAGAAGAGTAATGATTCGAAGTAGAATTATAATTATGGAACGAATCTTCCGTGGAATGTGATTGAGAATGAGACGATGTTTCTTTCATGATACCAGGAGGATTGTGGTGATTATTTTGTGATGCTGTCAAATGATACGATCCATTGTCAGAAAGAGGGTATGACTCCTGGATCGGCTGAAGCCACCTTTGAAGACTAATACGTTTCGTACCGGCTCCACCAGATCTGATTGACGAATCCTCTGGAATTTCGTCATCAGCCCTAAAATCACTGGTGTCCGGAAACGATACCTCCTTTTTCTTGCCCTTTGCATTAGGAGATGATTGGGGAATAGGTTGTTCCTCAACATGAGTAGTAGCATCAGCGCGTACTTTGAATGGCGACAAATCGTAGCCGACGCGAGATTCATCACGATGCTGTGATCTGGGCATGAGACGAGCGGAGGAAGACATTTTGCCTGGATACGTAAAGATTTTAACCATGGAGGAAATGGATAGAGGCTTATAATACTCAATCCAATAATCATCAAAGTAGTTGAGAGGTTTGTTCGTCAAAACACCTTGTGGATCGGAATATGGGGGTAAAGTCTTCTTCTCGAGGAAGGCAGGTGTGTACCAATTTATATAACTTCGCCGAGTACGCGGAGACCAAACACGCGGATCAGTATGATGAAGATGATAGTCAGTTGCTAAATCCCATAACATTGGCTGTCCATGTTCGTAGACGTAATTGCCGAGGAATAGATTATAAGCTTCCTGTCTTTGGCCATCAAGGAACGAATTGTTGTAGTATCTTCGGAAACTTTCTACCATATCTCGAGATTGACTAGTCCATTGATTGATTTTTCGATAAGTCTCCATGGTGTTGACTAATTGTGAGCCTCCATATTGAATTGCAATTGTGTCACCGTGTCCGTGATACATGGATGTGAAAAGATTTATTGCATCAGTGTCATAGTTTATCGAAGGTTCACTTAGGATACCTAGAGCATGGAGTTGATATCCAAGAGCTCTCTTACCAATGACGAATTGAGCTGCATTAGTTCGGTCCAAGCAATCAATACAATTAGTTCTAGCAACGCCGTTTTGCACAGTTGGCATTGTTGTTTTGCCATCTCCATTATGGAATATTCCAGTATGAGTAACAACCTCGTTACCCATACTCTCAAGCGTACCAATCACATCTTGGTCTCGACTTTTTGAAGCTCGACTCATATCCCATGGCTTGTGAATAATTTTCTTGTCTGCTGGCAGAAATTGATTCAAGTAATTGATTGCATCTGTGAACTCATGTAATAACTTTGACTCTCTGGGAGTCCTTTCTTTTGCTTTCACCAAGTTCAATACATAAACGGGAGCTCCGTACCTTTCGAATAGATTGTCAAAATGTAACGCAGCTGCACTGTAAAATGGATCTACCAGATTTAGCTCGATAGGAGGTTTGGGTGTTACACCAGTGTTGTCCTGAGTCCAGTGTAATGGGATACTTCCGCGATGTTGCACATAAGAAGTGTAATTAGGACTGGCATAAAGCTTCGGCCCAGGAGCATGTAAAGAAGTTGTGGTGTTTTCCGAGACTATTTGTTCAGTCTCGACATCGTTCGCAACATATCCCTGCAAGAATCAGCACATGTCTGGAAGTAGACCAATTTAAATTACCATATCATTAGCACCGCGCTTCAGAAATCGAGCACCAGCAAAGTATCTCGAGCGTCTTGCTATAATGGTTATGTAGACTATACGACCCCATACTGGTAGAGCTGCTTGCGCGAGATATCCATGAATTACTGGTACACACCAATCATAAGTATTCTTCAGAAGGCTTTCTGCAGGACTCAGCAGATGACTGTTCCAAACGAACATAGAGTTGTAATCTTTAGGATGGGGGGATGGGTTTCCAGCGGCGAGAGCAGCTCGCTCTGTCATGATATTATGTTGCAAAGTCCTTGTGATATCATAAGAATAACTAAAATAGAAAGACTTATTCAAATCAAGACCGTTCAAGATACTCAGAAACCTTGACTCCTCAGTATTCCGAGCATCTGATGATTTGAACCTTGAGCTGGTGGATGTAGTCAGTGGTATTAGTTCCGTAGCCTCGATAGTGTATACGAAGTGGCCACCGATCATAGCAGTCTGGTTCCGTTTCGTAATCATATGCATATAATAACAACTAGTAAATCGTATGAACCCAAGTATACCCCAGACAGCACTCTTGAGTTTCATACCACCTGAACTCTTGTTCCCATCGTCGATAGCATTGAGCAACTGGGTCATCTCTTTCTTCGTGTATACAATCTCATCCTCGGTGATATTCAAGGTCCCTAGCTCTGCGGTACGATCAATCTTCAGGATTCGAAATCGAGAATCGAGTATATCGGCTCCTACAACATAATACCTCGTAGCCGTTTCATACAACGAGAACTTTTGCATGGTGCAAACACCCAAATCTCCAGCCTTTTCATATTCCGCCCCTTTATTCCGTTTTTGATCAGAGTATGGACTGGATGTCCTTAAGAAGGGTTTGCAGACAGAAGCTTCTTCATCAGTGCCATAGCCACCAATTGAATCCCTTCTCGACCCCTCCTCGCTGGGAGGTATATTGTATGAAAGATTTGGTATCCGTGGCACATCTTGATCGCTCTTTTCTATATCTTTGAATTCGGAAGTTAAAGGAGAGGTCATGGCAGACGTTGATTGCGAAATGGTAGAAGTGACTGTGCTTCCGTCGTCGAAATGGACATGCCCATCATTGGGATCAGCAGCGCCTGGCGGGTGTCCTTGAGCCGGACCATCTCCTTGGTCTGCCATAGTGACCTGGCAGTCGCTTTCACCGTAAGTTCATTATCTCAGCTAGAAACTTTCATAAACTTTCGAAAATTCGTGGTTTGTGAAATTGTCTTTGTTCGTTGGCGTTACCATTCGACGTCGCATATTCATGGCATTTGATTGAAACAAGGATATTTATTTCGTCACTACACAACCCGTCACTGATAAGGATTTGCGATAAGAATCAACAACCTTGCACAACAATCATTTCCGTTTCTGCTGTCTTAAATTCATGAAAAATAGCAGCGTCTCTAGCTCACCATGAGTGAGCTATTCAATTACCTTCTTGATAATGAGCCCCAGTTTCGTCGGTAAGTTTGTTCCTCGTAGTCCTACGTTCAGCTGCCACATAAAAATACTAACTACCGTCATCCAGAGCAAGACTTGCAGCCTTGTACTCTGACTTCCGTCAACAGCAGACATTAAATCCAGATGGCTACCAAGCAAATATTGAAGCATGGCAAAAGGCACTGGCAAAGGCGGCAAGGGCTGGAGTTATGCCATCTCAAGGATCGAGTCCCGATTTACTGATTTTGAGGGCTGACGACGAATTATTGCGCGCATTAGATACGAACGAATGGGGAAGACCTTTGTCTCTAGGAGCCGTCGTGCAGGAAGCCGTCGCGAAGAAAGAGTTGATGCCCTTGGGCGATTTCATGAATGCTACCGACAGTATATACAACAGGTCTTGGACTATAAAGCCTTGGGATATAGTAGGATGGGGACTGAAGCAAATTGGCTTATCTTTTGGAGGAAGCAAGCTGCCGGGGGGTAAATTGGTCATTCTTGGGAATGTCGAGGAAGCAGCAAAAGTATTTGTAGGGAAAAGCGGTACAAAGACAGGGAGGGTGGGAAGGATATATTCCAGAAGAATGTTCAAGGAGGAGTTTGGCAATGTTCTCGGGGAGCATCCTCTTTCAGATGTGGATATGGATGCTTTCTTGAAATTTCTTGCAAGGGACAAGAAAGCTATAGCCTTTGATGGCGAAACCATCAAGCTGAAAGCACCCACAGACTCAAAGACTCCAACCATAACTCAAGAGGATACCTCTATAGCATCATTAAAATCTCTGATTGCTGATCTTGAGATTCAAACAAAATTGTTCGCTGAAAAAGTCGACATCATGGAGCGCACTGCGAAAGAAGCCGTTGCAAAGAAAAATCGAGTGTCAGCCCTGGCAGCCCTGAGGTCGAAGAAAAGTGCCGAAACTACTCTTGCAAATCGACATGCTACTTTATCACAATTAGAAGAAGTCCTTTCCAAGATAGAGCAAGCAGCGGATCAAGTTGATCTTGTTCGAATCATGGAGTCCAGTACAAAGGTGCTGTCAAGTCTCAATAAGGAGATTGGTGGTGTAGAGAGAGTGGATGATGTGGTTGATCAATTGAGGGAGCAAATGGGACAAGTTGACGAGGTCGGAGATATCATTGCTGAGCCTGGACAAACGAATCTGGTGGATGAGACCGAGGTGGATGACGAATTGGAAGCTATGGAGAAGGAAGAGACGAGGAAGATTGAGGAGAAAGAACGTTTGGTCAAGGAGGAGAAAGAAAGAAAGGAGGCTGCAGATACAAAGCGCAAGTTGGATGCATTGGAGGAAGTGGAACAACAAGCAAGAGAGGCCAAGAAGGAAGAGGAAGTTGTTGTTGAGAGTACACAGGGTTTACGACGAATGTCTCTAGAACCAGAGCCAATACCAGAGCACGCTTAAGGCATTTGTAATATTTTTTCCTTGTAGATTGGATTTTTTTACTGGGGGTTCACATATACGGCGTCAATAATTAAATCGGATATACTTTTCTTCTGATGACATGAAATCAAATACCAAGGCAAATCTATTTGGGAACAGTGGCGCGGCCATCTACCTAGTATCTAAAGCAGAATTACCGGAAGCCACAGTGACTGGGTGGGGAAATTCTATACCTATGGGTTATTGATGATCAAGCGAGCTCCTGGTAAGCTCCTCGCGTGATAATTTTTGTTTCTCGTCTTCCCTTTCCCTCTTCAAGAGATCACCCAAACTTTAAGATCCTATGAATTGTCATCACCATCCTATCTACGAGTTACAGATTTCTTTTCAATTGTTTATTTCATCTACAATATGAATCAACCTCACAGTAATATATCAATACCCCGAGCTTCCAACGTCTCCCCCTCTTGACGTCCATGAAAGATTCTGGATCCTACTAATCTATAGCCTTGCGACCTCGTTGTTCATTACTCGATGATTACGCATTATTTCTTCTGCAAAGTGAGGTATACATACTAGACGCACAACTAAAATGATCATAACATTCTCGCTATTCACATCAGATCAAAAAGAGAAGCAACTCATCCACTTTTTCATCCACCAATGCAATTCTACCTAGGTACTCCCATGATCTGTAAATGCTTGCTCTAAGCAATCCATCATATTCTAGCTCTGAAAAAGCTGCATCGATGAAACTAACCTCTCATCCAGATCCATAGTCCACTCAAAAAAGGAGCAGTCTTTTTTAGAAATTTGCGAGGAGGAGAGGAAAACAACGAAATAGAGAGAACTATTGATACATTTTCGATTCACTTGTCAAAGAGCCGCTCAATAGAAGCAAGTTTCTGTATCCCAAGCAGCTGAAAATATTATAGAAAAGTTCTCGTGCTGTCGCGCTGTCTTAATTACATCGAATTGGGTCTTGAATGGCACGGGAAAGTTCACTTGGACATTTCGCAAGAAGCAGCACCAGATTCAACACGCTCCGGCAATATGATAGTTTTGAATTGTGGTGTCGATCTTGAGATTATTTAAAATTTATATGTAGAATGATTGATACCTCTTGTTGAAATGTTTCGTAAGTGTCACTTCCAGTAACTAACGATATCAAGCACATCACATAGTCAACATTTCAGACGGAGAATTGGACAGCTCTCATTGTTCCATCCATTGATCTATCAAATATGAATAAACCTTACCATTCATCTCTTACAGAGTCTATAAAAGCCTCCTAACTGCTTACCACCTCTTGCTGTTCTATCCTCCTCACGCCTCCAAAAATATACCCAAAATCCATACTAGCAAAAGAGGTTCCACTACTTTGGTGGTGTGCATCCTCTCGCTCACACTCAAGAATCTTGAGGACCCACAGAAGCACGTCTGCTCCGGGATACAATCAAACTCTCTTAAGCCGATTTGATATCTACATATTTCTATGCTATGGATAAAGGGCAGGGAGGTCGTTGTTCGACATCACCCTTATAATTATGGATTCAAACCATTAACCCCATGTTGACTTTTTTAGTCTAAACAGGGTATATTTTTGGTTCATGGATTTAAACCACGTAGGGGACTCTAAAAATCTGCAGAATTTCGAGTCAAGCATAGGACTTGCCTATAATGTGGATCCATGGGTTTGAACCAGGTATCTGCGGAGATCAAATCCGGAGTATCCCAATTACCATTAAGTCATGATGGTAATTTGTGATGATGGAGAGAAATTTAGGAATTATAAAGGTCGGGAGTTCCAGTTGAGAGAAAGGGGTGAACGTAGACGGTGGTAGGTATTGGGGAAGGAGCGTGACTGGGGCTAGGACAAAACGTTACTCATAGTCACGGTCGGGTGATCCCACCATATCGAAATATGAAGGAGGGAGAGATTATTTGATTGTTATGATGGAAACATTAAAAATGATAAAAATCGGGGTATTTCTATCACTCCATCATACATCATGGATCATCTCCTGCGCCATCAGGAATACCTATTCACGAGCACTCACCGAGCAATCACTCCGCCATGTTCTAAGCATTGTGGTATACCAAATAAGATCACTGCGGAATTTGTTTCAATCACCCTTAGTTTTGGAAATGGTCAAATTAAAAACCGAGCTATACTAGCGGCAACCAATGCCCAGGACTGGAATTTTATTCCTACTTAGTAACCAGGAATACTCGAGATTAAGCAATAGATGATGGTGGAGAGTGAAGTGATACGCCTTGCGCGATCCCGTATTGATTCACTTGTACATATGGACTCGATATAAATTATTGTCCTGATCGTCGGGGCGGGATACAATATGGATGGCTTGTATAAAGTCAAGGCAGCGGAATTGTTGTATATCTCACACGGCTTTGAAACTGCTAGACTCGTGAAAGCACACGAGGGATGATTTCTATCGAGACAAAGAAGAGAGTTGAAAGTATTCGAAGTGTGAGAAAGGGTATCTTATATATTAGTTTCATCTATTATGGCTGCATTGGACCATTTTTGTTCATATCTGCTCCTGCTCCTGCAAATGCACCATGCCGCTCTTGTACATGCGTTATTGACATATTTTTATCATATTGTGATGATGATGGAGCAGCCATCGCGTACTCCGGTGTTCCTGCACTTTCTGAGAAGAATCGCCCATTAGGTAGTGGACTGTTGGCTTCTGATGCCCCTGACAGTGATTGTATTGGGTTGTTATCAGATATCCGCTCACGCTGAATCTCTGGCAACAAATCTTCCCGCCCCTTCCTGACATCCCCACTGAGTGCAATACCTGGTGAATCTTGACTAGATGCCGGTAGCACTGTCGTGGATGCTAAAGAGTCCGTTTCTAACTCTCTAGAAGGCTTGTTTTTCACAATTTTTTTACGAGCCTGAGCAATTAAGTCTTTAAAGCCATTTTTATATTCTTCTCCCCATGCTTGCCCGTCAAAGTCTTTATCCTTGATATGAGCGGATAATGCGCTCGGTTGTGGTGCCCTTGAACCCAGCGTCCTTTCCCAAGAATCAAGATCCCTTTTTAACTGCGCCGTACTCCTCGGATTTTTCGCATCACAGTTGGCATTCCATATAGTCGTATACTCTGTTAATCTCCTCCTCATCATTTCTCTCCCCCCACCAGCCGATATTCCTAAGTCTATAAGCTTCTTCTTCAAGGCCTGGTCTTTGATTAAGCTGAAGTTGACGACAGGTAATCGCTCCGGCCGTCTGACTGGCTGAGATAATGGAATTGAGGGTTTTGATAAAATACTTGTAGATTGAGGAGTAGTTTCGGATTCCGCAAGGCACCTCCCAATGTGAGCTTCAACACTTTTCGCTGTCATTCGTCGATTGCATACCGGACATGCAGTAAGCCCGTCATCTGTGAAAAAGGTTAACGACTGTTCATGGGATTATAAAGTAGCTATATGGACAATTACCAAGTTCGAAATCTGCATCACTGTCCTCTTCGTCAATAACTATCAGTGATTCCTGTGCTGCCTCCGTGCTCTCGAGTCGTCTTGTTGCCTGGCGAGTCGAAGCTCTCGTTTTTTTACTTGCTTGCTCGTCCAATCCATCAATATCTGATCTTTCACGCTTTCTTTTTGGAGATGTAACAGTAGATTCGACCACAGGTTTCCTCGCAAGTTCTAGTGCCGCCGGTCTCGCCCTCTTAAAAGCTTCCACCAAATCCTCGATAGCAGCATTCGACTTCAGCTTTACTTCTTGGTCGTTCGATCTACATGTTGGGCATTTCGAGTCATTATTGAGACATCTTCGTATACAGAGTGAACAAAATGTGTGCGAACATGAAGTGATCATCGGCGTAGTGAAGAAGTCCTTACAGACTTGACATCGTAATAGAGAATCGACATCTGCGAATTTAGAAAGTGGCGTCCCCAACCAATCCGTTGAATCTGCTATATCAAAAGAATCATCCTTTGGTCCTCTAATATTCATAGCTTCTTCGATAAAAGTTTTGGTCGATTTTTTTGGAATGATTGTCTTGCTTGTCGCATTCTTTCTTCTTGACGCAGATGACATCCTAGAAGTTTCGCGTAAAGTGGTTGACAGACGCGTCGCGACTCCTAGTTTATCAATTGCCGTAGCCTCGAAAATAAATCAGATAACAGCTCCAGCAACCTTTTGAGACAACCACAAAGTTGAACAAAATGGCGGATTTCAAAAGTTATCTTGCAGCGAGTATCTTGACAGAAGATAAAGTGGTGAGCAATTGTTTGTGGAGTTATATTATTTTAACTAAAAGTTCTTAGATTACTTACAGACTGCTTAGTCGGGTGCTCAAGGTCCATGTAAATACAGCAAAGGAGTATGTTGTTTCCGAGTCTTGTGATATGCCTTCTGCTAACATTTTAACAGAATGCTGTTTGAGTTTCATCGAGTACAGAATGCAAAGAAACCAGGAACAATCCATGCAACTTATCTCATTGGTGGAACAAAGAGAAAAGAAGCACCTGTAGAAATCGAAGCGCAAAAGGATGGCGAGGATGATTATATGCAGAGCAGTCCTTTTGCAGGAAGCTCAATGCCACAAGCCGGAGAAAGTACCGGCGAAGGCTCTATATTGAGTATAACATTGACTCGAGAGGAGGATTTAGAGAGTGGGAACCTCGCCTTTGGCAAGCCATAATCTGTAGCTAACAACCCACAGCAATACGGTCTCAATTTGAGCATATTTCCTCAATACATATCTATAGTTTGGGGCCTCATCCATTGAAGGTAGAATGTATTCTATATACAAAACTCTCCGGGTATTAACAACTTATAGGAGCTCCAATTGCTCTCAGATTCGACTCGCGAAATCCAAACACTCGCCAAATCCGAAGACCCCCTCGAATCCTACCATAAATACGGAATAATAACCAATCCAAATGCCAAACGCCGTACTCGTAAAGCACCGCCTATTGCAGCTGCTGCTGCACAAGCATCTGTTCCAGCCAGACCTGCGACTGCGAAATCCAAACTCAATGAAGTCCAAGAGGCTCCTAAATCATCCTCGTCCTCCAAAAAGCCCGAACCCAAATCACAGCCATCTAACGCCAAAGATTTCTTTGGCAGCAATGGAAAAGAAAAGGCTAAGCCAAAGCCACAAGCGGATTCCACAAAAGTCGAATCTACGACTGCGCCTTCGAGTAAAGAATCAACACCAGCTCCTCCTGCAAATCTGAAGCGCGAATCCAGTAGCATTTTCAAGGCGTTCGCGAAAACTCAGCCCAAGAAAGCAAAGATTGAGGAAACAGAATCGAGCGCAAAAGACGATACAGCGATGAAGGATGTCTCGGACGATGACGAAGAAGATACATGGATGCCAGCGCCTGTCAGGAAAGAAACCAAGGCTCAAGATCGAAGTTCCAGGAAAGCAACACAGGAGATATTAAGGCAAATGATGGAAGATGACGATGACGATGACGATGACGATGACGAAGAAGAAGAAGAAGAAGAAGAAGAAGAAGCAGCACCCTCACCAGCTCCTGAAACACCAGCTGAGGAAGTAGAAGAGGAAAAGGCACCTGAGGAAACTAAAGAAGAAGAACCTGTCGCAACTACAAGTAGTGGGCGAAGAAGAGGTAGAAGAAGAGTTATGAGAAAGAGAACTGTGAAGGACGAGGATGGCTACTTAGGTAAGTTACTCAAAGATCTAGTTCTCCTTTCCATGTGTACTTTACTAACCGAGATATTAGTAACGAAACAAGAAGCAGCCTGGGAATCATTTTCGGAAGACGAGCCTGCTCCAGCACCTAAAGCCAAAGCAGCGTCTGTTTCTACTAAAGCCAAGAAGGATGTACCAAAGAAGGGACAGGGAAATATCATGGCCTTTTTTGGGAAGAAATAGCGTTTCTGAGGAACTTAAGGGAGTGATTGTTGACCGGATTTGATAGCGAGCTGAAATGAGTATCTTAGGTATTATGTGCTAGCGGATAGCTTCAATCGCGATATATTGGTAGCAGATAATATAATAAGACTAAATCACTATATGCGGATGCAAGCCATGCGAAGATTGTAAATATTGCATGCAGATCTAACTTTTCTTTGTAGAATATCAGATATATATACTCTGCCTTGCTTCGCCAACAAGCATGATCCAGCTAATCCGACAAGTCGCCCAGAAAACTCCCTCCATAAACATAACTCCAATCATAGCATAGCCATTGCTTCCATACTTTCATGCACAGGGCCTTTTCTTAACGACTAGAGACATCAAGTCTCGAGGTCATAAGGATCAGCGTCTTCCCCGAACAAGAGATGAGGTTTCCGTTTTGCGAGATCGAGAATTGTTTGTGCAAAGACTGAGTTCGCCCCTTTGAAGATGTTAATATCTGGATCTATGATGTGCGAAGGGTGCCATAAGACACGTGAAGACGAAAAGGGGAAGAGAAAACGCAGACATACATGCGAACCAACTCCTCGTATACTCTTGTATACGGTTGACATTGATACTCTCATGAATCAATCCCAATCTACTCGCTTTCAAAACTAGGTTCAGACACTGCATAATCTCATCATCATCATTACTAGTCATGGCTTGTAACAGTAAAGACATAGGCCATGCATTCTCGGGGCCAATATGTGGACCTCCTATACCTCTGAATGCTTTCCCTTCGAGATAGTATGGATTTCCTTCTTTAGACAAAATCATCTTTCTAGTATTTTTATAGATTTGATCGTCATTGCTGCAGAAACCGAGGATTGGTAGAGCGAGGAGACTAGGCACGTTGGCATCATCCATGAGGATTTGTCCACCATAGCCATCTACTTCATATGCAAATACTTTACCCCATTTCTTGTGTTGTACAACGGCGTGCTTCATAATGCCATCTTTGATACTCTGTGAGCGCTTCTCGAGAGTTTGGGCTAGATCGGTGCGTTTGGCTACTTTGAGGATCTCGGCGGTACGTTTTAATTCGACGGACATTTGTGCATTTGCTGGGATGAAGAAGCCTAAAATCGTAGTATCGTCCGAAGGGCGGAATGCGCTTCTTATCAAGCCTGTACCGTAATTTAATGGATTTCCAACACCAGATAATGGTAGTGTCTCGGTTCCCTGGTCGGTTCGACGGCTGAACGTGTAAGCATTACGTTGGAAACGACCAGTCTTCGAATCGAAGCTTGATTCGGATTGTTGCTCAATGACCATGAGAAGGGTATCTAGTGCGGTCAACCACCGTGAATTGATAAAGTCAGTTGATTTAGTGTGGTTGTAGAAGGCGTTCCCTAGAGCCAGGAAATTGGCAAGGGAATCTAGCTCATATTTACATTCAAAGACGAAAGAAGGTTCGTATGCGGGGTGAACATTGTCATCTTGCCCGTTTTGCGACGCAGCAAGTTTCGAGGGCGGGGGAGGTTGAAATGCGTTGCAATATGGCGATTGTATAACATACTCTGCTTGTGTATTGATGGCTCCCAATATTAGATTGAAGATAGCCGGATCTTTGTTTGATAAAGGCTGATACTGTAGCAATTGGTTTGTGGAATCTCTGAGCCACTCGGCATTGATGTCTCCCGTAACCACAAATGATTGCGCTCCCTGCCATTTCTGATTGCTTTGAGCACTCCTTGCCTTCAATTCCGTATGCTTTGTGATTCCGTCGACGTGCCATCGTACTGTTGTGTCGAGAGTATTGGGGAAAGCGTTTTCGAAAAGTCTCGCGAGGTCCTTGTTAACCATCCTAATTGACATATCATCGATAACCTTCTCCACCAAAGGAGAGGAGAATGTTCGACACTCCTCAGCAGGCCGTTGAAAAGGCAATTCCATAGGTCCATCAGATACCGGGCCATGCCTGAAGGTCGAATATTTCTTGTAGTCCGGACATGCTTTCGCATATTTATGAGGATCGTTAATTGGTTCTTGTGGTCGATAAGGCGATTGAGCCATCGCGCCCAAAGCTCCTAGCCACAGGAGCCATGTTTGAAGTGAAAAATGCCCCATTGTAGCTGCTCAATGGTATTCGATAGGTATTGAAGCTTTGTCGAGCTATTTTTGAGAAGAGCGGACCTTATGCCGACATCTGAATAAACGTGGATAGCTATTGCTTTCCGAAATGATAGCTGTTGTGATGAAATTCGATGGGTCCAGGCAATGATTGGCGTTTCGTGATGGAATATGCACTTCTCTTTCTTTCGTTTAAATCAGCCAAATTTCATGGGGCCTAGGGTAAAGTATTGCCTTTCTGAAATTTCAATGTTAGAATAGTGCCAACTGAGGTTTGATATCTTGAATTGGGAGCTGATAAAAGCTTGTGTCTGTAGAATGACAATCAGTAAGTCGGGGAAATGGCAAGTCTGATCTCTTGGTGGGGTGCTTCCGCCATTTCACATTAGAGCTAGGTAAGCCAACAGCCCACCCAAGATAGACGAGCGAGAAGAGACAAGTTAGTTATTTCTAGAATCCGCTTAATTTATACACACCTATATCATGGATTAGACAGCATCATTTCCTATGTTTCCATTTAATTTGTAAATAACAACTGTTCTAGGGCACAATGGTTTGAAGATTTCCTAAAAGTGGTGTAATTGACCCCAAATGCTCTCCCGGGCGTGTTTCCATTCATTCCAATGTTATTCCTCTTGCTCAAATCTTGTCTCGCTGTGATCTACCTTAGATCTCTACCTGCTGCACTGAGTTTCGGGTCAAGGACAATTGCAGAGTTAACAGATGCATGATTAGTCAAATCCCTCATCGCCCTATTCAGTTGCAGAAGTATCACTGAATCTCTCAAGAGCATACAGTCGCAGATGGTGCCTGCGCAATTTTCTATCAAAGTAACGTAGGATTGTGCAAAAAGAGCAGATCTTCTGATTTTCATGAGGACTATCTTTACAAGCAAGAACCAATAATAGGTATTGGGCAATGAGATTTGGCAATGCTGGCATACTGTTCCTATTCAAATAATCAGGCGTTCTTCAAACAACTTGGCGAAAATGGGAAAATGTATAGATGGTTGTCATTGTGATTTTTGACCGGAAGCCCATCTAATTGAACTGCCTCAAAGTCAGTATATAAAGCTTAACTCCCCAGTCCCGTCGCCTAAAAAATCTAACCCTATCATCTGATTGCTATGAGCTTTAAAAAAAAAGCAATAATATCTGTTTCATCTCTATCATTCAATTTCTACCCATTATACTTAGGTCATTTTTTCCCAAGCGTTAGCTTCAGTTGATGTATTATCCTTAGCGCCTCTTCCTTCTCTTTCTTCTCTTGCTCCAATTCTATCTTCTGATCTCGCAGAGTCATATAAATATCCAAGTCCCCAGAAGCTGTCTGCTCTTCGGGTGAGTGAGACCTGGTTCTTCCCTCGCCCAGGTTCAGAGTTGTTTGCAGCTGCTTGTCATATGTGTATACTTGCGCGATACGCTCATTTGCATCAATGACAATATGTCGAATATGCGATTGCGTATCAATATCTAAAAAGCAGGATCTAGGTTAGATGATACTTGGCTCTAAACTAGAAGTTTCCTTCACCTTTGATTTTAAGTGCATCAAGAGAAGACTTCGGGCAAAAGTTAAGAATGATGCAATCTTCGAGAATACCACATTTTTGATACCTCCCTCCAGATTTAAATCTATCTGCATATTCCTCTAGCCGTCCACTGTTGCCAGATTGAAGTATCTCAATACCCCATCTTTTGCCAAAGATAAAGAAATCGATTCTTCCATCCTTTGCTTCAGCATATTCTGACAAGATCGGTAGATTATAAAGCTCCTGGTTAAGGCAACAATACATCTCATCCTGGAACGCTGCTTCTGGAATACCCCAATTAGTATCGGACTGGCAACCAGTATTTGACGAGGGAGAGCGATGATGCAGAACGGATGGGCTGAATCTTTCAATGGCGTTTAAACAGGCTTGCTGAAGGATGATTGTATCTGAACCGATTCCTGGTGGCGGACCTGGAATGAGACGTCGATCTGCGATCCTGTCTGGCTTTAGTATAAGCAAAGAACGGGGTGAATGCACATCCCTTCTATGTATTGGAGAAGCAAAAATATAGGTAATTTCGCTACTTCCATGCGTAAGGTACTCTGCGTGTAGGAACCCCATTTTATAACAAAATGCTAATGCATCCATGTTATTCATTCCTGGCTCTGTCAAGCCTTTGGGTAGTCTCGCTACTTTACGCATTGCATCTGTAACATCCGAATATTTGAGATGGCTGCAAGATGGAGAATGTACCAAATAGTTCTTTAAGTGCTTCTCTCCTACTACTGTCCAGACACCTCTGCCCCATTGAGTAAGAAATTCCAGTAGGAAATCACGCTCGACAAGGACCTCATGACAGAAGACTGGCGACCATCTTCGACGGTTTTGGATGTTCTTATTCAGCGAGAAATAGTTAGCATATTCTTCAATGAACAGCTTCTTCAGTTTAGCCGAGGAGATATTACCTGTGAAATCAACATTTCAAAACAACCCAAGATCAATCCAACCATTCCTGGATGACTGTCAGTAGCAGAGTGAAGATACTCGGCTGTGGCTACTCGATCAACGCTATCAGGGTTAAGACCATTCTTCAGAATCCATTTACAGACTGCGGTCAATGTCTCATCCGATTTGAAGAGCATACATAAAGAACTAAATTTTAATGATCGTAATTCAATACGATTGAGATCATCTACTTTCGAAGCTTGCGATTGAATGAACGGTTCTTGAATCTCAGAAATGCCAGCAGCCCCATAAAGGCAAACAAGCACGAATATTGATCGTGATCTAGTGTAGTGGTTCTTGAGTTCAGAGATCCAAAACTCTTCATCTTGATAAAAACCTCGAGCTTCATCAATGAGTTAAACAATTTTGGCGTTGGGGTTATGTGGACGATATTTGGCATTGTCTTTTCGTGCCCAGGTTGCTTTTTCCTCTAAAAAGTCTAGGTATGGAGCATTATTGCGTCATATTTTAGGCTGCCAAAGAACGAATACAGGCTCAAGCTCTGGGTTATGAAGGAGAATATGATATCCAAGTAACTGAAGAAGCGTTGTCTTTCCCACTAGAGGTGTAGCACGAATAACCACGATTCCCGTCTTTGATGCAAGTTGCAGAACTGAAGAAACTAGATCTGATCTTTCGCAAATATAAGGGCAGTGGGTATTCCATGCACTGAAATCATGAAGTGCATGGTCATTCATCTCGTGTCTACAGTTGACACAAATAGGAACTAACAATTCGAAGACTCCTTGAGGGCAATCACAATTATGACAAGGCCAGTGAGTGATAGTGGTAGAAGGGAGATCTGACAAATCGATTTTTGTGTTTCCTCTGGCAGGCTTCTGTTGTTTAGAACCTTGATTTTGGTGGGGACCTTTTCCGTGCTTTTCTTATGATCTGGTGCTTGAAATTTGTCTGACGCCGCTTTGATTTACCATTAACGTTTTGTAAAGTAGCATTTGAGGAGGAATCTTTGGGAAGATGCAACTCCACATCTTTTGAAATAGATGAGGGAAGTCTTCTAGAGATAGATCTGGTGGTTGCAGGCATTTTCTATGTTAGGTAAGTAAAAGCAGTCGTGTGAAGAGGAAAGAGAGTTCTTGTTTCTGCGTTAACAATATATCAACATCTTTCCTTTGTTGTGAAAAAAGCGAAGGTAGCTTGTTGTTATTGAATGTTCCATTTCTGCGAATAAAGGAAGTACAATTTATCACACCCAACACTTTCAGACTTTCTTGAACATTTTGATAAGATCTTTTGGAAGCTATCAGGGAAAAAGACAGCTTGGAAAATGCCCAACGCCTAATTCTACGTACGTAAGATGTTGAGAGTAGTCAATCTCCGTAGTAATAGCACAATAACCTAATTGATACAAGCGTCAATTCGCAAGGCCTCAAGGACACAATCTTTATTCAAGCTCTCTTTAGTCAAAAAACAATACGATGAATTATACCCAGAATTCAACTAATTCATTTCCCACCGTGACCATGTTTCAACATGAAAGATGCTTTGGCATGAATTTTCTTGGACTGATCGTTATCGCATAGGCCTGCCAACCAGGAATAAAGGATAGAGTGGTTTCACCATTTGGACGATATAGCTTTACGAATTTGAGGCAAAATGGTGAACTGAACCTCGCGTTCTGGGCAAACGTCAGTTGGACGGGTCATGTAATAGGAAAGAAGTTGAAAAATGTGGCTTACAACTAAGGGTTTTCATGCTCTCTAGACATTTGTGGATGGGTTGTCTCTTGTGAGAAGAACGCTGGCATGATAGTCACTTTGAGGGGGGGCTACTTCGGAAACTTCGCATTTCATTTCAGACAATCATCGAGATGTCAGTCCAACCTCCGATTCGGTAATATGTCAATAGTAAAGGCAATCATGTGTTCGAGTTTCTTCCCTTTAGTATAAATAATTAGCAGCTGGATATACCGTCCATGCGAAGCTAGATAACTCTTCATCATTTTACATCACTAATTCCCGAGAATCAAAGGCCATAATCACATCACGATCATGAAGAATCCCTGCGGATATGTGAGATGAACGATGTTAAATCACGCATGCTAATACTAAGTAGAGTCTACGATAAGATAAAACATGATGGGCGAGTGTAAAAAGAAAGCTGACATATGAAGGTGCTTAACATATGTTCCGTCGTCCACGAGCAGGAAAAGATTGAATTCATACTACTTTGGTGAGCAATTGAAGCCATGCCTCCAATTTTGCAACATCCACCCAGCTCTGATCCGTAATTCCTTGTCAAATGAATAGGGCTAACTGCACATTGGAACATGGAGTAACAGCGAGCTAGGAAGCGTTCGAACTTACGCTGGTATATGTTGCTTATCTAGGTAGGCATAGTACATGTGATCAAACTGCTTAGCGAGTCAAATTCATGTAGTGGACTGTGTTGCAGTTGCATCATCAGCACAAGTAGTAAGATTCTTTTGAACAGGTACGTAAATGCCGCGAGGTAATCGTAGCCGATCGTGATACGATGTTGTGCAATGAACAGTACCTCAACTTAGTCATGAAGCATGCGGTAAGGCAACCCATCCACGACATTATCTCCGAGGACGGGGAAATTTCAATGCCACTGGCAAAGCTTAGACGACATACTCCGATGTGATCGCTGTTGAAGAATATGATAGATTCTGTGGTATTGCACGTTTTGATTGCGAACTAATACACACCAATGCTACTGCGCCGTAGATCCACGTAATTCAAGGCGTTCAAGGATTATTACTAGAAGATATCTTCAACGACTTTAGGAATTGAGCTATGCAATGTAGCCCAAACATACACTATTCCAACCCCAGATCAAGCAACATTCGGAGCTTCGTCCGATTTCCCTCTCACATATACTAAATTTCAGATCAATATCATCTGCAGCTTTCAATACCAGATTGATATATTCTTGCATACCGGAACACTATTCCTGATGATGGATACGCGTAAACATAATAGCAATCATAGTATGATATGTAATACCTTCCTAAAAAATTGCTTTCTCGACTGTTGCGGAATTATGGTGTCATTCGTTGAAAGGAAACTCTTGAATGTATTTGCTTCCTTATCAGGCAGCAGCAACCTTCGGAATACTGTTCGACCGGGAAGTACGAAGAGTCTCGTCTCTCTGCTGGTGTTGTGCCCATTGCAACACGGCCCAAATAAAAATTCAAAATTGACAGCCCAATTAAACTTTCACCAATGAGGGTCCCGGAATTTGGGAGATCAAGAGCCGTTGCCATTGAATACTACAACGCATTCTTGATCTAGTGGTTATTCTTTCACATGAGTGTACCAGACCCTCACAGCACCTACGACAAGGCTGAATTCTAAAAGCATGCAATGGCCTGTGAATGGTCTTTCAGGTCCAAACAAGGAACTGAGTCTCAAATCCAGCAAACTCAATGTTTTGCAAGTTCCAAACTTTATGGTCTATTCGGACCAGTTGGTAACAAACTCTTCCGATTATCGATAGGCATTCGAAGAATGGACATTCGGGAGGCGAAGCGCGATTCCTTTGCAGAGATTCGTCATCCTAGATCGTTCTTTCTAGATTGCTGTTGGAGTCCCATAAGATAAATACCATTCAAAAGATGCACTAGATGAAGGGTGGCGCGAGTGACTAGCTGGCGAGAAGCGAGTGTGATGTGCCAGTCTGAAAGAAATCGTCGTGCGACAGATGTTTCAACAGGGTTGCTCGAGTCATGTAATAATAAGTATCACCGTCCACTCATAAGATTACCAGCAGGAGTTTCGCTGTGAGAGGGGGAGCTATGGGTGAACTTTGAGACTGCGCACAGCTCCTTCAGCTCATGCTTGGGTAAATATTTCCCATCCACCAGTGATCTAACCGTTCGTGATTACTCATCAAGATTTCTTCTCTCAGTGATACGGAGGCTCGGAGTTTGTATGTTGTGCTCCACTCGGAAACCCCTCGAGGCCTGTTTCCCGTTTCCTGTAAGGTTATCCGCATGTGGGTGGGTCTCTTAAGTGCAATCTTAAGCGGTTATCGAAACCCCATCAAGCCTTTCCGATAGTCCATGCATGAACAAAGTCCATTTCGAGATACAGGCAAAGTGAATGTCAGAACGTTACGACAAATCCAATACTAGAATCTCCTCAAAGTGAAGTTATTAGACCTCTAAGAGTACCTAGGTAGAGGTATGAATGATCTCTGACATCGAGTTTGCTGGTCTGCTTCGACCATGGTGACCCTCAACGGCAAAGGTAACGGGAATGTCAAGCCTGTCATTCGAGACATTGCAGAAATTCAAGGTCTTCTTGAAGATATTCACATAGCAGATACGAGCCAAGGTCCCATACCAAATTCCACGAAAGCGCATTCTTCCAACAGTACAGTCGCCACCGCCCAAGTCTTACATTTATCCACGATCCCTTCTCCAATCCCAAAGCCAGCAGACTGGACCTCAGATCTGCCCAACTCCGAACATGTCCAATTCTTCAAAGATACAGATTGGGCTGCAACACACCTCGGACCATTAGAATCATGGGGCCTTGCCCTTCGACTTCATACTTTCACAACTTTTGCGGATTCAAGACCTGCTTGTTTATATTGGTATGATGGAAAGGCGAAACTTTCCTACTCAAATTTGAACAATCTGACAGCATCATGTTAGGGGACCTGAAAGAGTTGCAATTTACAATGAAAACTTCATCGAAATGTCTAGCAAAAGACATCCAGCACTGATGGGCAAACCATTTAAGTCTGTTTTCCCAGAAATCTGGAAGGACATAAAAGGGGTTTTTATTCATGCAGAGACGAGCAAGCTTGCAGCAGACGTCAATGAGATACCTTTAATGGTGGAGAGAAGTGGCTTCAAAGAGGAGGCATATTTTACGGGAAGTTTCAATCCAGTTCGAAAGGAGGATGGAGCAGTTGGAGGCTTCTATAATTCTGTAGGTTCGTATTTGTTTCGTAGATTTTGCAGTCTTCAAACCCATTTCCGTTTCCAAATTTACATCCCACTTTTCCTCGTTCTCAGCCGCACCTTATGATGGGATGGATGGAGTAAATCATCGCATATCAGAATGACTTCTTGATTATCTGGTTTTGAGACAACACAACTGTTCAACATGACTGGGATATTGAAGAGTGTTGTTTTGAAGCTCAAGATACTATTTGATTGTTAAACTTCAACTTAGACATTGAAGAGATAGCTTTTAAAGGTGTTGTTGAATTTGGTATGCGATTTATTTCACTAATCTTGTGTTTTCTGTTTTAACTCTAATTGATTCGTCATGATCCCCTCAAATATTAATTTAACTAGCAATTACTGAAATGTGGATGCAGTTGAAGTTACTGCCCAAAAGCTCAACGAGAGAAGACAGACGATGTTAGGATCATTGGAGATCCCAACTAAATTGCAACAAGGAACGCTTGCCAGCCATGTTATGCCTCATTTAGAGTCAAATCCACTAGATATCCCCATGGCAATGTTATATCAGGTAGACGAGCAAAGTTCTTCTGGGTCTGCAGTTTATCTGCGGAGTCAGCTGGGCTTCCCTGAGAAGCACCCACTCGCCGTGCCAGAAGCTGACCTCCGCAGCTGTCTTGCCTTGTTCCCGTTGTTACATAAAACAAGCAATAAGATCTCGACTCATTCCATTGATGAGAGATTTGAGGGAGTCGAATGGCGTGGCCACAAAGATGAGTATACTGAAACTTACGAACCATCGACACATTTTAGCATACTTCCAATCTCGAGTGCTGATCGTATCTTTGGCTATCTCATACTTGGCGCCAACTCTCGCCGGCCGATTGACGATACCTACGATCAATTCATAAATGCTATCGCCTCGAGGGTGTCATCAATTGCATCTGCCTTGGCTAGCGCCGAGGAAACAAGGCGGAGGGCTGATCGGTTAGAAAAGGAACTGGCTGAAAGCGAGAGGCAAATCAGATATATGGCACAGAATGCTCCGGTTGGTATGTTACAATTATCGACTGAAGGTAAAATCCTTTGGGCAAATGATATGTACTACCAAATTACTGGCCATCCGGGACCTGAGGAACCGCAGTACAACTATTCTTTTCTTGATGTCTTAACGGAAGAAGACAGGTCTCAAACTTTACAAGCTTGGGTACAACTCCAGGATGGTTCCTCTCATATTGAGATTACATCACGGCTCAAGCGTAAGTTTGTGCCACCCAGTGGGGAGGCCGAACACGCTTGTGTGCTATCATTGGCATTTCCATACATTGTAGATGGCGAAGTACAATCCATCATGGCTTGCTTTACCGACATCTCTGAATTAAAATGGGCCGAAGCAGCGGAAGCTAGGAACGCTGAGGAAGCGCGTGTGGCCAAACGTCAGCAAGAGGAGTTTATAGATGTTGTTTCTCATGAGATGAGAAACCCTCTTTCTGCCATTTTCCAGTGTGCCGACATGATATCAAATTCCTACAGAGATTTATCACACACAAATGCTCTTGAAATTTTAAAGGGCAATGTTGAGGCCGCTCATACGATAGCTATGTGTGCCAGTCATCAAAAGCGTATCGTGGATGATGTCTTGACACTCTCGAAGCTCAAGTATATGATGCTTTCCATTTCGCCACACTCTGCTAATCCGGCAAAAATTCTGGAACAGGTCGTCAGAATGTTCGAAGCAGATTTAACTTCTCATGATATCTCAATCAAGACAGTAGCTCAACCTTCTTTCAGTGCCAACAATATCGACTTAGTCATGTTTGACTCTTCGCGTGTGAACCAAATCTTGATTAATTTACTAACAAACGCGATTAAGTTTACGAGAGGTGAGCCCAAGAGAAAGATCACAGTCACTTATGGTGCTACGCTTGTTGAGCCAGAGAATAATTTCAGCAAGGAACTCTACTGGGTACCATGCGGAAACGAAGTTGAAGATTTAACGCTTAATCCGGAGTGGGGCTCTGGTGAACCTGTGTTTTTAACATGCGCAGTCACAGATACAGGAGTTGGAATGCGTGCTGACGAGATCCCTCGTCTCTTCACTCGCTTCGAGCAGGCCAATTCGAAAACTTCTATAAAATATGGCGGATCTGGTTTGGGACTGTTCATTTCTCAAAAGCTTGCCGAAAAACAAGGAGGTAGGATTGGCCTATCTTCCAAATTAGGCCAGGGAAGCACATTTGGGTTTTACGTAAAGGTACGACGTAGTGTTAAACCGCCCAAAGATATCCGTCCAAGATTGACAACAGTATCATTCGATGGGTCTCACTATGACGGATCGAAGCCTATGCACGTTTTGTTAGTCGAAGACAATTTGGTCAATCAGAGGATATTAGAGAAGCAGCTCAAAAAAGCCGGCTGCATAGTCCACGTGGCCAACCATGGGTTAGAGGCTTTAGAGATTTTGAGACAGTGTTCCTGCTGGCACGAGCCGGTGATGGATGCAAAGGAATTAGATATTATACTGATGGATTGGGAAATGCCTATAATGGATGGCCTCACTTGCAGTCGGGAGATCCGAGCATTGCAACAGTCTGGAAAGATCGTGAGGCATCTTGAGATCATCGCAATTACTGCTAATGCCCGAGAGGAGCAGGTTCAACTGGCATTGCATAACGGAATTGTAAGTCTCCGAAGGATAGGTTTCAATTGAATCGTTATGCTGACAGGTGTTGCTGTAGAATTTCGTAATGTCCAAACCTTTTATAGTCTCGAGCCTGCTGTCCAAAATGAGAGAAAGGCTTAGCGGGATCGACAATGGCACGAGTTCTCAGTGAACGAATATGAATTTGCCAATAGTGGCAAAAGGAGTGCCTATGAAGTGGCGATCCATAACATCCCGTCTTGTCTTCTGAATGGCTTTGCATTATTCTCTAATCGCCCAAGCCCCTCGGAATATACAACGGAAGTCGCGGATATCCGGAAAAAGGACTGTGAGCATATATGCCCAGCTCCCCTATTGATAAGAATACTGTGAATAATACCAGTATGTTTGAGAGAATGGGAATCATGACGGATATGAAAAAACTCAATGCCAAACCAATATTACGTGCATTAATGTCTCGTCACTACGTCAAACTCATGGGCATTTATTTGGATGCAATACCCCCCCAAAAACGACCCCCAAAATTGTTAGAAATCTGTCAGGAGCACAGGTAGTAGTGAAGAGAACGGTGAGGATTAGTTGCAAGAACGAAAACGGGCTACTTGGGTCAGTTCTTTCTCTGGTGTTTTTGTTATCCATTGGATAGTATTAGCAAACAATAGGAAACATTAAAATCAATCAAAGTTATAGAAGAATGCCCTGATTACTTCAGCTTTACACCAGATCAGGACTTATCCTCCAAAAAGTAGCAAAGTGCATTGCAGTATCATTAAAGATGGCTCGGTAAACGCATTGTCCGCAGCGATTCGGCATGGAATCTTCAGCATCTAAGGATTCAACACGACAGTCACTTTTGTCTACACACCAATGACGAATAGGACTATCAGTGAAAATTTATCGCTGTATTCTGAAATCATCCTAACAACATTGAGAAATCACTCGAGCATCCGCTTCGTTTGACATAGAGATGAGTCTGTAGAGACTATGTAAGTTTAGAAATTGAATTCAATTCAATGCTAACCTCTATATTTCACGTGCTCTGGCGATTTTTCACACGCGTCCTCTCGCCTATCCTTCCTAGATTGCGCTGGGATGTTTGGTTTGAGATAAATTATCAGTTACATTAACTTTACACTGATTGCCTTTGAGTGATTGCTCACTGGGCTCTATCATTGATAGACCAGCGTCGCAGAGCTAATTCTTTCTTTGCTCTCTCAAGCAGTCATTCTCCTTTTCGTCAACCTTGGCTCATCATGTCAATGGCATACCAGGAAGATGTGTCAACAATTGCAGAAGTAGAGAAGCTCAACAGTGAGGCCAATGTTCTCTATAAATCGGGAAAATTCCTTGAAGGTATGCTCTGAGTGATTTCATTACATTCTGATAACAAACTTATCGAAATCATTCACACACAGCTATGACGAAGTACCAAGAAGCCATGGCAGCAGATAAAACTTCTGGGCCTTGTACTTTTAAATTTTTCCGCAACATGACTGCTGTCTACTTTGAGCTCGGCAGGTATACTCAATGCCTCGAGAAGACGAAGCAGGTTGTCGAACTGATCCAGAACATGATGCCAGAGGATAAAGCCATCTTTGTGAAGCTTGCGCAGCGAATGGAGAGATCTATTGAACATATTCCTAAAGCCTCAGATGAACAGAAGCTGAGAAGTCGTCTGAAAATCAGTGTTTCTTTACCACGCTACCGTGCTTCTCTGTGAGTCCTCGGAAAGTTCCACTTGCACATACTCGAGACTGACTGTTATCCAGGGTTACAACGACTGAATACTTTACGGTTGGGCACGACATTCCCGAAGGCATCTTTCACGACCTCATCCAGAAACCCCGTCGAGATGAGAAAGACAGAACACTCTCATTCTTTTTTGGTGGCATCGGGGATGCTCGCAATTATATGCAACGATGATTGATCTACATGCGCCGGAGAAGAAGGGAATCGCTCCTCGCAGGAAATACCATTTCATCGCAAATGATATCAATAAATGTGCTCTTACCAGAGACCTTATTATATGGAAGTTACTAGACGACCTCTCAACATTATCACAAGACTCAGATGAGGGAATGATGGCTTTAGCCACGATTTTTTCATCTATGAAGCGAACATAATGCCCAACTACATACACGAGTATCTGCGCGCAATAATGGGAAAAATTCTGGTGATTTTACAAGAGATATGTGAACCTTCTATATGTCGATCAGCTACCACGATTTTTTTCTTCCCTCCGCCGCGAGACTATTGAGAATCCTCTTTTGTTTTATTTCTACAGGACTATAGTCCTCTCCAAAGCCAACAGGGTGAAGAATGCGTACTTATCTGGAGTTCCCACCTATCTTTAAGACATGTTTGACTAGATTTCACTAATATTTCGGCTCTAGGGAAATTCCCCACTCGAATGGGTATCGCTTCATGCATCCGATATGGCTAGGTATATTGACGTCCACTAGTGAGTGTACAGACTCACAGGACACTCAAAAAGAAAGTACAATTTCACACCAAAAAGAGCGATTTTAATAATTTAATTGAAATTTAGATTATTATTGAATTCTTTCGAGATTGAAATTTATGATTTTCAAATATAAGGATTTTATATAATAAAAAAATTGAGTAAAAGAAATAAATTTTAAAATTTTAATAGTTGATTATATAATTTCTTATCAAAATATTTGATAAGATATTATATTATTGAAGTTTCAAACTCAAATCTCTATTTTTTTTTTAATAAATCTTTTATATATTATTTTTTTATATTTAAGAAATACAATAACGTAGTTTATTAGTGGGACGGTTATATTAATAAATCAATCACTTTTATCTTAAATTATTATTCTATATTTAATACACATTTTCTTTATAATTAATCATAAAAATTCATTTTAAAGAAGCACATATAATTTTAACTATTTAAATTATTAAATTAAATAAAAAATTATTAATTCAAAAAGTAATTTAGTTTTATTATATACCTTAAATTATATTAAATAATAAAATTCAAAATAAACTTAATACAATTGAGAATTGATTAAAAAATTATAATTTAATTAAATTAAAAAAGGAAGTATTTATTTAATATATTCTTAATATAAATTTGAAAGATTTTTTATTTAAATTTAAGAATGTGAAAAATATAATGAATTATATTTTCAAATTAAAAAATATGAAATATATTAAGAAGCTTTGAATATATTAATTTGTAAAACATTAAATCGAATTAAAGATATATTTTAATTGTATTTATAATTTTTAAAAAGCTTTTTATAAGAATTCTAAATTTATTAAAGAATAATTTCGATTAGTTATGAATATATAAACGAAATATAGTATTTTGAATAAAGATTTTTATAATTTTAATAAAACAGACTTTATAATAAGAATTATTATTAATATTGAGAAATATAATAGAAGTAAATCTATATAATTAGGTAATTGAGAATAGACTATAATAATAATATATGAAAATAAAGAGAATAAAATTATTCTTTTATTTTTATTGGTTTAGGGATAGGTTTATTTTTTTAATTAATATATTAAAATTAATCTTTTGTAAAATAAGTTATTAAATTTATATTTAATAAATGAATAAATAATAAGATGGGTTTAAAATAATTGAAATATTTTGATAACTATATTAAGAATCGAAAAAAGAGTAAATATCGAATATTAATATTAAATAAATATAAAAACTATAAATCAATAGCTTTTCAAATATATTATAAAAAGAATAATAACTATTATATTCAAGTTATTTAATTTAATTATTTGATATTAATTATTTTAATAATATAAAATGTTTATATAATAATCAAATTGATGAATTTATTAAGGTATATATTAATTATATTTTGAAGGTTAAATTCTTTATAGTTTTTAAAGCTGTATATAAAGAATCAATTATCTTTCAGAATATAAAATCAAGATTTTAAGAAACAGATTTAATTTTATTTAATTTTAAAATTATATTCTCGAAATTAGATATTCGAATTTATATATCTACTTTTTTTTCTTTTAATCTAGATTAATGAATTTCTTAAACTCTTTGTAATTCAATTGAAGCTTTTTCTTAATCAATATTAATTAAATCTTAAATAACTTATTATTAAATAAGTTCCCCTATATTTATATTTGAGATTATACTAATTCTAATTAAAAGTATAAAAAGATTAGTTTATAAAACATACTTTTAAATATAGAGAATTATATATTTTAAATAACAAATGAAACATTAAATAAACATTGACATATAAAAAAAATCTAATTATATTAAGGAGGAGTACTTATTAAATAAAAGACTTTTGATATATTATCTTAACAAAAAGTTGATATTTAAATTTAATATAATGAATATTAAAAAGGAGGGAATTTTAATAAGGAAGTATTTTTTAATTGATATTATAATAAATATAAAAAGATAGATTATAATATAAGAATTTATCAAAATAATAAAATAGATTTTAGATTGTTAAATTCTTAATAATTTTAATTAATTGATTTAATTGTTGTTGAATAATATAACGTAGTTTATCAGTGCGTGTACTATATTAGTACGTGTATCATTTCAAAATACACCAAAATTAGGCCTTTTTTAATATTCTTATTTTAATAATTAATCATTATTTTAGAAAAAAAAAAGAATATTAAATAATTATACGAAAATAGATTCTTAGAAATCTAGTTTTTATATAAATATTCCTATTAAATCTTAGAAAAAGTGAAAATTGTCACGATTTTCGTTACAAAATAGTTATTTCTATAATAACTACTTTATAAATTAAGTTTTTCTTAAAATTAATTAGATTTTTATAATTCATATATAATTAAATATTTTATATTAAATTTTCAGAAATTTTAATCCATAAATAAAGAAAGTGCACGGTTACACACAGACGAATTTTGTATGTAAAATGAGTGGTACACGTACTGATATGGTGCACGCACTGATAAACTACGTTAGCTTTAAAGTGACAATTCAAGGTAAAAATGGCCGATTTACTGATATTATTGATCCACTGATAAACTACGTTATATTAATTAGAATGATATTCGATTGAAATTGTAATTTTGATTGAATTTTGAAGTTGACATATTTGAGGGTGAATTTGTGCTTTCCTGTTATGTTGTCCTGTGAGTCTGTGCACCCACTGATGGTCCTGAATCATTCGCTCAACAAAAGGGATGAGGGCTCCCACAGCTGAACAACCTCAGAAGCACTCAGAAGGCATTGTCGGGTCGCTCTCTTTTTCCTGATGAAAAGTTCAAAAAGGAAAGGCAAACCTACGTTAAATGCGGAGTTTTACGACCACCAGAAAAGATTCTTATGTCTCGGGAGCCGAAATTGTCAGGGCTTATCAAAACTCCATCCAAGTCCACTGAGCTCCGTAAGTATATTGAGAAAAATTGGAATTTCAATCCAACAATGATGGACTCCGATTGGTATGATGATATGGAAATAAGGGAACGGTCCGAAGAATTTGATTGGGACAACAACCTTTTCGATGCTGTCACCCAGTTCGAGCCTTTTCACAAGGGGAGGAAACCTTCAAGCTTATTTGATCACGTGGCTCCCTTGTTTCAAGATGCAGCAGATGCACTCAAGAAGTTGAAGGGAAGACTCCACGTTGAAGTCCTCTGTGGGGACATTATCGAGATATCCAAATGGTTCCGATTTGGCACTTCGCCTACCAGAACTCCACCATCAAACGAGTTTCCCACAGAATTTGATGGTATTCACCTAAGTAACATTCCGTAAGTCAGCTCCAGTCTTATTCTAGAGTCATTTGTCCTTTCAATTCTTGGTCAAATCACACATTTTGGCTCACACTTCTCTTTTGCGGTATTGAGATTGAAATCCGCAATATCAAAGCTGACTTTCCTCCATAGTGATTATATTGGTGGTAATTTATCTACTTTTCTACATATCACTCCGATTTTGAACAAAGAGCCAACCAGCTTTGTGCAATCCAACTGCTTGCGTAATGCAGGAAGCTGGAAATCCATAGAGGCGTTTTTGGCAAATTATCCATGCATCACGAACAAGACCATGCTAAAACAACTCACTGGTGTTGAAGTCATGCCTCGACCTTTCAGTGGTCAATATTTCCTTTAATTGACTACACTTTCTACGGCCACACACAACCAGTATCACAAGAAGACTGGTCGACTTTGTTGCCTCGAAACGAATACCAAAAATGGTTCTACGCTCTGTTTTTTAGACTTGCATTGCCATACAACGTCGAAATCTTCCAGCCTGACACAATTATCTTCTCACCCCTCAATCTCAGCATCCCCTTTCGTTTAATGGATGAACTTCGCTCGCGTCATTATCCCTCTTGTTGGATGTCGGAAATAGTTTTGAACATCTTCGAAAATAAAGTTATCAGTAGCTGTCGTCCTCCTAGAATGACGCCAACATCCGTTTCGGCATTGGGAAAGCAGCACAAGGCCAGAAACCTCTGCACCGCTCCGTTCTCTCACGAGATGGCAACTCTCACACAAATTTTAATCCCACTTCTTCCTTTTAGTTTGGCATCATCGGCTATCCCAGAACAGAACGATATTCATAGATATACCTTCCCATTTCCTAGCATTTTCAGTTATCAAGAAATGCCAAATACCCTCACACTCATATTCTGGAGTCACCGATATTTCATGGATCTAGGTGAGATGGGTAGCTAGTCATTTATCAATGACATTCGTCCTCTACTGGATCCAACATGGGGAGATGAAATGGATAGCCGGTTCAAGGGTTCAAAATTCGATACTTTCAGAGAGAAAGGATTGATCGTGTGGAGTGTTATAGATTGGGATGTTAAAACAGAAGAGGCAAGTGCTTGGATGTCTAGCACGATGGTCAATAGCATGATCAAGCAGGGAGATTGGAGTTGTGGTTTGTTCAGAATTGATACATGGCAAAGATGTTGGCAACAACCGCTTATGATGAAGGATGTAAGAAAAGGTGAGGTCTGGAAGGATGATATCACTGCAGTTGCAGATTAATAACTTTTGGATCTTGCCACGCCAATGTTCATGGATAATGAGAACCAAGCATATGGCGTGATGCTGCTCAATATTCCAATTAATCGTAGCAGTATTCAATTTAAACTTAGAGCTTTCTACAGGATGCTGGATACGTATCTTCATAGGGAGCAAGATTGGTGATATATCGCACGAACGAGCTCCTTGCTTGAGATGTGGTACACGAATAGTTTTTTCCAAATTGGTGCGCGGAATAGCTTAGTCTATCTATGGAACCTCTTCCGACTCCTCGTCTTCATTATCGTCTTTCTCCAAGCTTCACGTAGACTTCGCCCCATGAAGTTAATGGTTTTTCTTGTATCCAAATATGGCATAGTGTCCTTATAGCTGGTTGCTCAATTTTCGTTGCGTTGGACGATCACTTAGTATAGCTGCTGATCCAGATGCATGGGCGAACATACGCGAATTCTGGCGATGACATGTCGCTGTCACGCTCGGCTATTATACTCAATTTCTTCACTAGATTTCAAAATATGAATTAAAAGTCTTACAACCTTTTTATCAAAAACATTTAAAAATAAAATTGTAACTTCATTAACATAGTTTCAAAATGAAAAAAAACCCCTTTTATTAATTAAAAGATATTAATTGATTTAATTATTCTTTGAGATTTGAAGTGATTTAGAATTATATTAATAAATTAATAAGTAGTTTGAGTAATTCAATATAATATAGTTTATCAGCATATAATTCATATCAGTATATAGCTCATTTTCACTTCAATTTATACCTTTTTCTTTCAATATATATTTTGTCAACAATCTATTATAAATTTGAATAATCAAAAAGCTCATATACTCCTTATTATTGAAGCTATTCAGAAAAACAAAAAACAAAGCATTCAAAAGATTACTAATATATATAATATTCTATATAAAACACTAAAATATAGAATTAACAGTTTTACTTTTTATACAAGATATTGATATAAATCTTATAATCTTTTAAAACTAAAAAAGAATATTATTATCGAATATATATTTAATATAAATTCGAAAGGTTTTTCATTTAAACTTAAGAATATAAAAAATATAAAGAATATTAAAAAACTTTAGGTATATCAATTTATCAAGTATTAAATCGACTTAAAAATATGTTTTAATTATATTTATAACTTTCAAAATGTTTTCTATAAGGATTTTAAGTTTATTAAAAAATAATTTCGATTAATTATAAATATATAATTAAAATATAGTATTTTAGATGAAGATTTCTATAATTTTAATGAAATAGACTTTATAATAAGAATTATATGTATAACAATGATTATTATTAGTATTAAGAGATATAATAGAAACAAATTAGTATAATTAGACAATCAAGAATGGACTATAATAATAATATACAAAAATAAAAAGGATAAAACTATTCCTTTATTTTAATAGTTTAAGAATAAATTTATCTTTTCAATTGATATATTGAAACAAATCTTTTTATAGAATAAGCTATTAAATCTATATCTAATAAATGAATAAACAATAAAATAGATTTAGAATAATTAAAACACTTTAATAAGTATATTAAGAATTAAAAAAAGAACAAATATTGAATATTAATACTACATAAATATAAAAGTTATAAATCAATAGCTTTTTAAATATATTATAAAGAGAATAATATTCAAATTATTTAATTCAAATTATTTAATTCAAATTATTTAATTCAATTACTTAATATTAATTATTTTAGTAATTTAAAATGTTTATATGATAATTAAATTGATGAGTTTATTAAGATATATATTAATTATATTTCAAAGATTAAATTCTTTATAGCTTTTAAAACTGTATACAAGAAATTAATTACCTCTTAGAATATAAAATCAAAATTTCAAGGAATAGGTTTAATTCTATTTAATCTTAGAGCTATATTCTCGAAATTAAATATTCAAATTTATATATCTATCCTTTCCTTTTTCAATCTAAATCAATAAATCTTTTAAACCTTTATAATTTAACAAAAACTTTTTCTTAATCAATATTAATTAAATCTTAAATAACTTATTATTAATCAAGCTTTTCTATATCTATATTCAAAATTATATTAATTTTAATTAAAAGTATAAAAATATTAGTTTATGAAAACATACTTTTAATTATAGAGATTCATATACTTCAAAAGCAAATGAAGTATTAAGTAAATATCGATATATAAAAAAAACCTAATTACATTAAGAAAAAGTATTCATTAAATAAAAGACTTTTGATATATTATTTCAATAAAAGATTAATATTTAGATTTAATATAACAAATATTAAAAAAAGGGGAATTTTAATAAGGAAGTATTTTCTAATTAATATTATAGTAAATATAAAAAGATAGGTTATAATATAAGAATCTATCAAAATAATGTAATAGATTCTAGATTATTAGATTCTTAATAATCTTAATTAATTAATTTAATTATTAAATAATATAGATTTGAAAGTGTAAATTGAGGTGAAAGTGGACTATATGCTGATATGGGCCATATTCTGATAAACTACGTTATCAAGAATCTTTATAATTAATTTCTAAATAAACGTTTCAATTAATTTTCAGATTTTTGCCCTCAAATTTCTATTTCAATCAATATAATCTAAATGTTACGGGAGCTGCCTCTAGGGTTACGTGAAAGTGTCTAGAGATCTCTCGAGATGTGTTACGGGAGCTGCCTCTAGGGCCACGTGGAAGTGGCTAGAGATCTCTCGAGGTGGTTTAGACTAAACTTCAAGTAGGAATTCAATAAGGTTGGTAACTGGTTGCAATTCTCGTAACTATAGTAATGGAACTAATGATTGTTCTTGAGCACGAAGCTCCATATTATAATGAAACTCATTCTGTTATATAGACCTTCGTCCTCTGGAGCCCCTGGGATCCGTATGCTCCTGGAGCCCGTAGCTCCCCAAGGCTCACTCACGTGACACGCGAATGTGTCATGTGATGTCTGTCGTAACAAGATGGTTTAAACTAGATTTCAAATAGGAATTCAATAAGGTTGTAACTAATTATAATTCTTGTAATTATAATAATGAAACTAATAATTGTTCTTAAGCATAAAGCTCTATATATAAAGAAACCCTATTTCTTATATAGACCTTTATTCTCTATTATTCTATTAATCCTATTGTGTTTTATTAGATGGGAGCAGTGAGATTTAATGGGAATCTTTAATCTCGTGACTTTCTGATTAAATAATTTGATATGTTAAATACCATTATAACACTATTTTCTTTTTAGTTTAGCGCTTATCCCAAACGTTTATAAAATGAGTTTCCCCCATTTAATTAATTCCATAGTGCCTTTCTTTCTGTTTATTATAATATCCATTATTTGTTCTTTAAAATCTATTACTAATTATAAAAATATTTATTTTTATTCTAAAAACAAAAATATTATTATATTTTATAAGTATAATTATTATTTAAAAAAGAATCTTAAATATTAAGTGCTTTTAAATACTATATATTATAATGAATATATAAAGAATATGAGTAATAATTGTTGTAATGTATATAGCCATTCTACAAGCGATTAATCTTATATTAATTCTGAGAAAGAATATCTTGAGTTTGAGGAGAAGAAGGCTGCGAATGCTATGGCTAAAGCAACTGCTCAACTAACTTGCTTACAAAGGCAAAAGCATGTTTTGCAAAAAAAGGCTAGCAAAATGCTTTAACATGACCTTCGTACTATTGAAGCTCTTGAAGAGTTTGAGGCTGAGGAACAGCGATTGGAAAATGAACGTCTAGAAAAGGAGAAGGAACAAGCTTCTAGTTCCTCCGTTGTTGCTGGCGACGATTCTTTCGATTTTGGTTCTTCTTTGGACCCTTCGATCCTCGCTTCAATGGATTCTCCTTCTTTCTGGGCAGATCCGGGTATTGTTGATGGAATGCCTCCAACTTCTCAGGGCAATTGAGGTTCTCTTTCGGTTCCTATAAGTTTTCGGTATATAAATAATCTAACCATTTGATCAAGTATTTGACTATACCTCTAACGTTTTTGCAATCTAGTATTGTTTCGATATTATATATGACGTTTGGATTGACTAGTTCAATTTTTGTAAATGATACGTTTAGCGCTTCTGATAGTACTGGTTCAAGTAAGAATATATGGAAGACTAAATGGATATTCATTATATCTAATAATTTCAATTAATAATTAATCATTCCTATTACCTTATTAATCTTAAATAATCCTAGTTTTTTATAATCAAGTTTATTGCTTGGTTTCTTGATTTCAATATTTCGTTATAGTAAATAAACTTTATTCCCCTCTTTAAGTATAGGTTTTATACTATATTTCGTATTGTAGTACACTATTATTCTAAAAGATATAAATCTTAGATTAAGAGCCAATTACTCTTAAAGATCTTTCAACTATTCGACTTATATTATTACTAATTCGGTATTAACTTTTTATAATATTGGGATTTTATATGCTTATGGATTAAAATCAAAATTAGTTTGTACTAAAATGATTTTCGTGATTTCCGTTTTTGATGTATTATATACGAATTATGCCATAAATAATAATTCTATTTAATTATCTTGTTAATAATTTATATAGTATTTAAGACATATTTTTATTATTTAATTAATCCTCTTTGTTTAACCATCTATTTATAAATGAAAAGATATTAATAGCTTTTTCTTGATACTTATAAATACCAATAAGGTAGTCCAGAATTTCGAGGTAAAGAGCTTGTTTCGATCCGAGATTATCTTATTTAATACTCCGTATATACTTATTATAATCCTAAGGAATATATATACTAATTACTTAATATCCTATATTTCCTTGAATAATATTATATATACAAATTTCATTAATCTATTTACTATATTAAATATTACATTATATTCAATTCTTATAATAAAATCCTTTGAAAATAATAGTTTAACCATAAAGTCCTATATAATGAACTTCTATAATTGAAAAGGTATATTTAAAGTCTGGAGCTGATTATATGAAGTATATTG